TGGCACACTCAACAGAGCCATAGATCTGCATCCCGCCTATCAGGCGCTACGTACAAGGCTCGAGTCAGTGCGGACAAGGCCATCAGGACAGTCGAGCAAAGTGACGCGTGGCCGACAGCCGATGTCAGCAGAAAGTGGGAGAGAAGCCGGCCGGGGATCATGTGACCAGCATGCGACGCCACCTCACCGCAACACCCACGGGGCTGAGATCAACTCACATGAGCCCCAACAACTGTTCAGTCCGTTGAGTGACGAGGGGGAGGTCGACAAACATGCTGGCTCACCAACAATTACGACGGCCGAAAAGGGGTCATTAGTAGCAGGAGCCCACCGGCGGTCAATCGTGGAGAGGTCAACGCTAATCGGCGGCGAACGGGCAGGTCAAAGTTCGTGCCTCGCGCACGGATATAATACCAGGCAGGTATCAAGGCTGACGCAATCAAGACCAGCAGGAACAGTCAACGCATTACTCTGATGATGGAAACGAGAGGGTTTCCGAAACGTCAGTACAAATATAACTCGGTCCATGAATTCGCCCCATCTTCTTCTTCGTCTTCTTCGGGGGATGATGAACGGGATACAATATCTGGACCTCGAATCTTTACGCATATCAAAATATATATATATATGTACATCAGAGGCGGTATGCATCCCGAGTTGATATAAAGAAACATAGAAGAGTTTCTTCGGAAAAGTCGAGTTGTACTTGTGGAAAACTCAACTCTTCCGAAGAGCCTCCTATTTTTCATATAGATCTATATTTCTGTGGAGGTGAGTTCATTGATCAGGTTACTGTACATACTCATGGACGTAGAAGAGAAGGCTAGTTCATGACCGCGATGCATTTGTAGCGACCTTCGGAAACTTCCTGTTTTTCATCTTCAAAGTGGTGTTGTGGCTGTTTCTACTGCCTTTGATCCCTCCAGATGTGTTGCATGTCTCGCGCTACGACCGTCCCTGATGCCCGAAATCCGACCTGCTCGTTTGCGACTGATTAGTGTTGGCCTTGCTGTGGTCTAGCCTTGTGACCGTCGCACCTGAGGCATCGCCAGTATACCTGCTGGTCGCCCACTCTTCGTCCAACCGAATGACCAGTTATCAGCAAAGCTAATGATAAGATGAGCAAGCTGGTGCTCGAAGTTGGTTCTTGATAGGACCACTTAACCTAGGCACAGACCTCCATCGCGCCTAACAGGTGTTACGAGCAAGGCTACAATCGGTTCGGACAGAGCCAGTAGGACAGGCGAACAAAATAACGCGGGCCAACGGCTGAGGCCGACGAAGACGGATGGGATCAACCGGAGCAGCATGACCGAATTCGCACACCAAATGGCCACTGAACACCGATGAATGCGAAAATACCAGTTCCAGGAGGCAGTTGAAGAATAGATGCGATTAAAACTATTACCCTAAAAATACACTGTTATTATTATTAAAGACAAGCCATTAGATTATGAGAGGGTTGGACACAGAATCAGAGTAAAGGGGAGGAAAAGGAAGAGGAAGAATCTACGGCTCCCTGTGCTGGAGGGAAAGGGGGGATAATGGATCCGTTGGACTAAGGGTGGCTGGATTAACAGTCGTTGACGTGGAAGGAGGCAGAGGTCAGCGAGCCGTGGTGGTATATCCTCGTAATGGGGGTCTAGTCAACATGACGGCTCACATTCGCCTCAATGGAATATCAAGCCTCGAGAACCTTCCCTTCCGTTCTGTGCTAGCCAAGGCGACAACCTCAGTGTCATCCGAATTGAATCGGTGGTTGCACTCAAGTGTGTGCGCAAAGACGAGGGACAGGGTACACAGCGACGGACAGCCAGTTCGTGTTCGTAGAACCATTTTACCAACATATGAGCAGGATCAATTTGTGCACAAATCGTAATAAATTAAGTTTGTTTGATGCTCCTCAGGGGTATTATTCTTTACTCAAAATAATGCTGCGCGCAGTTAGGATGCTGTCTTCTCTGATTTAACTGCCGGGTGGTCACTTCAAAGGTTTCCTGCATATATGATACGAAACATAATATCTGCGCCATGATTTCTCGTTTTGGGGCAGCGAATTGCGGTTTTCTCCTACGTCTGAGCCAGTTCTTCGAAAAGCTGATCGGGCATCTGTTAGTCCAAAACAACTGATACAGGCTAGTTAGTTCTCCTCTAAGGAGATCTAGCAACAGTAGGCTCGGTGGAAAAGAGTTCCGATGAGCTTCAGGGTGGTTGCCTCCATAATTTGTGGTAGTCCCAGTGTAAGATCCCTTCCCATCACGTTTGTTGTAAAGTTATTATCGCTCAGCTTCTATTCTCACGTCAGCAACGGCAAGCTACCTCGTACTGCCTCTTCATCAATAAACATAAGGGCTAGGGAAATATCATTCAGTCTCTGACGTGGTCGTTCGACCCCACAGTCCTTTTGGCGACAAAAGTGTCGTCTGCATTACAAAACCACATTTTGATTTAAGGGTCTGAACAAGTTCTTCTTCCAGTCGCTGTAAGACTAGTTCAGCGAGTATCCCCTACATTGACGAGCCCAGTGGGTCTACTCTAGGTCAAAAGGCCTGAAAGCGTGTGCTGTGTTGGTATCAGCAAACCATGGCCATCGCAGACTGGTGTGCGCTGGCAGTCCCCTGGCGGTAAATGCGCTTGCGCTCCCGCTGGGTATACACAAGTGGTGGGCATGGCTGCCCAGTCACCTTCGTCGCCGTGGCCCCTGTTAGGGTGTTGTTGTTGTTGTTGTTCTTTCTGCTGTTGCTGGTCAAAAACCTGGCCATTTGCGGTGTGGACCAGGAGGTGTGGAGTGGAGCGCCAAGGCGCAGGCAGGATCGTGCCATGCACCTGCGCCCCCTCCCCCGCCTCTAGTCTTCTTGACTACGTCTTGACACGGGGTCCAGGTGGGGATTGAGGAAGAGAGAATGTGGTAGGTGCTGTGCAAGGTTGATATCACTATAAACTAATTTACGCACAAGTCACCGTCTCTGTTCCATCTGGCTGTGTTGCACACAACGGACGTCGTCGGCAACGAGGATTGAACTGTCGGATCTACTTTAGCTGCTTAATAATACTTGTTGTCGAATTGACAGTACTTCCAAAGATAGAGTTTGAGTAGTTTTAAAACACGCTGCATTAGGACCTCAACAGGCTCGTCGAGCAAGTGTTGGTCTGTGCTTTTAATTTTCAAGTCATATGATATTAAATAAAAACAGGGCAGCTACATCACATGACAGAATGCATCTATAAGTAGCGTTGGACTTATAACCAACACAGCGCAATTTCGAGCTTCAGGTGCGCCCGAAATCCTAGGGTTGATTTAGGCTGGCTTGCAACGTCTTATATGTCGGAAACGGTCATCCCGGTCGCTTTGGTCTTTGTGAGTAGTCTCATTCTGCAATCATGTATATGCATACATGAAAGGTAAATGGGCATGAACTCACTCGGACCCTTCCTCGACGTTTTGCTCGATGGCCTGCGTCTCCCGACCGCTTTGCATCTGGAATGTAATCGAAGCATGAAAGCGTTACACGTGATAACGAACTGTAAAAATGAAGTATAGTGACATACTCAAAGGCGTATCGGTCGTGCTTAAATGCTTCAAAAAACGACACTTTGATCTGAGAATATCAAAATTAGAAGTTTCTGCGTAGGTAACTAAGTGCATTGTGTCAATTAGTAAACGGAAACTCTCCAACACTCAGCACAGCCGGAACAGTAGAGTTATGGCTGTTGTAACATACCCT